TGCTTTTTTAAAAGCAGAAGGGCGGGCTAAAAACGGAAGATGGAAATGCGCCCGCACTCCTCCCCGCCTGCCCTCCGCTTCTCCCCGGGCGCTCCCCCACTCCGCCTAGTGGAGAAGAGGGAGACGGCGCGGGCGCCTCTCCACCTTCCGTTTTTGTTCTTCATCTTCCGCTCAGCGCTCTAGACCAATACCCTATAGGCTTTGCTAATCGCTCAGCTCACTAGCCTTTGACGGTCACGGAAGTGTTCGCAAGTGTTTGCATCTTAAGATACATCTCGTGAAAAACAGCACAAACACCCATTTTAATCGAAATTTAACTGTAGGGGGACACAACTAGGAGTGAGCTCTTCTTAACTACTGCCTCCTCAGCAACCGCCGGAACACATGGGTCGGCTGGGTCCCGCCTATCCCTTTGCGTGGACCCTCGGCAGCAGGTAGCCACACCACCACCGCATCAACATCTTAGGAAAGCTCCCTCCTAGCTCTGTCCCCGTACAAGTAGATGTACGCCAGACCACATCTCGCGTAACAGGCTTCGCGATATCTCACGGAACACTGTTACACTGCGAAAAAAGTTATTGGCTGAGCGATTAGCGAAGCCTATTGCTTCGTCTGGTCGGAATTTTTTTTTCTGTCTGTCCGCACGATAACTCGAGAACGAATTGAGCGATCGACCTAGGATTTTCAGGGTCGTTTTGTACCACAAAAAGACAGGTTGAGTTCGAAGATGAGCATTCTAGCTCAAAAATTTGATTTTTGAAATATCGAAAACAACAGGTCCCAAAAATGACGTTTTTTAAAAATATATGTTTGGCTGAGCGATTAGCGAAGCCTATTACTCCGTCTGGTCGGAAAAAACTTTGTCTGTCTGTGTGTCTGTCTGTGTGTGTGTCTGTGTGTCTGTCCGCACGATAACTCGAAAACGGATTGAGCTAGCGACCTGGGATTTTCAGGATCGTTTTGTGTCATAAAAAGACAGATCGAGTTCAAAGATGAGCATTCTAGCTAAAAAAAATGATTTAAAAAATAAATCAAAAACAAAAGGTCCCAAAATTGACGTTTTTACAAAATATTCTTTTTATGGTTTCCTAAGGGGCAACTCATCAAAGTAGAGCCCTTTGGGTGAAACGTTTGTCCGTTTTGCTCTAGCTCAAACCGTTTAGGCCCCAGTGGGTATTTTTGACGAAAATAAGCGAAAAATGTACAACCCCGAATGCTCAGTCGAGATGACGAGCCGTTGACGGACCGTAGACCCGTATCTTTGTGTACATTTTCGAACTACCCGACTCGGGTGCCAGCGCCGCAGGCCAAAGTAGATGTATGCCAGGCGCGTCGCAGCGTACCAGTGTTTCGTGAGATACCTTGAAGCCTGTTACGCGAGACGTGGACTGGCGTACATCTACCTTGTAGTTATAGAGACAAAAGTTGCTGGGACATATGATTTTTATGTCCCTCTATAAATTGGCTTACACAGATTTGTATATTTGTTTCATATTCCACCTTAAAAAGACCAAAAAAGTCATAATTTTGACTAATTTTGAACATTGAAAAATTTAACATTGATCCAAAATGTCAAATTCTAAACCAAATACAATTTTAAAGATCTGATTAAGCCAAATTGTACCTTAGACCATTCTCATTCCGGAGAACTTTACCCCAAAATTCTTCAGCCAAATTGAGTGCGCAGAAATCAGTTTTAATAACGCTGTAAAATTGAACATAAAATATAAGAAATTAAACGGCTTGACTTACCGACACCATACAAAGTTTTTGGACAGTTTCATGACATATTGAGCAAGAAAAAAAATTACTATTCAATTTTTATTCATGGGGAGAGCCATTTCAGTGTAGTCTCCCTTTAAGGGCGACCCTACTGAAAAATTGCTGGTTTTGCACGTTGTGTAACAATGAGTTTCCGGTGGATTGGCAAACGTCAGACCTGTATATACGTGGATCCACATGAATGTACACTGAATAACACTTCCTGCTGTCTTTATACACGATTTGCAACATGCTCAGGCCAGGTTTCACCCTCATAGTGACTCGCGTAAAACCTCTCCAACAGAGAAGAGTTTCGTTGATTTTAAAATGTCCCATGCAGGATAACTTTAGAGCTATCGAAACACGAGTTCACCCACATCTTTGTTGATTATCTGACCACAAATCTTGGCATCGGTTTTGTAATCAGGCTAGTGGTTCCTCTGTGATCACTAAAAAGATGTGAAAAAATTGCAATTTTTTACAATTTTTAAATTTATGCACTTTGGAGCATGAATAGGCATACACATACTGTGGGTAAAATGTTTTCCATGCCAACTTTTGTCGAGCATCATTTAAACTCTCCAAAAAGCGTAAGTAAATAATTCTAGGACCAAAGTTATTCTGCATGGAATGTGTTTCCTAATCAGTGTTTTTCGTCAAAAAATTCGATTTCGTACTTTTCAAAAACGAAATTGTACAGTTTGACCATGTCAGTTATGGTTTCTTACACTCTCTATCACACAAAAAAATAAAACGTATGCGAAATTTTCCTTCCGGCCGAGTTAGCATTTTCAGTAGAGTCTCCCCTTAAGTTACGGACTCCTGCCTCATTGGGCAAGATTTCCTACAGATTTCAGCTTTCCTCAAATGTAGGGGTTTCTTTAAAATATCCACATTCTGCAACATCGTCCAACTCAGATTATCAGTTTTGCACTAAGCCAACTTCAATAAATCCAACCTTTGTGTGATTGCCCTTCAACAACAGTTTTTACAATTTCAGGAAGCCAATGCTCAAATGGTGGAATACATGGTACATGCCGGCTGCTGATGCACTGCCCACAAGCCGTGGAGGACTTGCAGAAGCGACAAAAGCGACCACTCCACTGCTCCTTTGAAAATGTGCTGCCAGTTGTGTGCTGCTTGAATCAACTTGGCGTGGAAAGACCCGCGAATGATACGGTGAAGTCACCCCTGGCAAAGAAGCAAAGTACGCCTACGACTGCATGGTCAACGTCCCCAAGCCCTCGGATCGGTCGCATTGCTGTAAAAAGTAAGATAGATCCTTCTTTAAGTAGCTTTTTCCATTAACACTGAATTACTGCGACTTGCAACAGAACTCTCTCGAGGTGGCGCAGCAGTGCCAATTTAACGAAAACAAGCTCACCCAGAAAAATTGTTTCTTGAATCAAGTGTAACAAAACTCCTAAAAATGTGCTCTTGTTTTTCTTCTTGTTACAATACCACGTGCACCTACAACAAGGGCATTTTTAAGTGCTGCTTTCAAGAGCATTGCCACTTAAATCAAGAGCAATTTGGTTCTGCTACCTGCACCGATCACTTGTTACATTCCGGACTACTCAGTTACATTCGGGTTGTGGTTGGGACTACTCTGATTCAGTCGGGAAACTACTCGATTACTCTCGGATTATCCTCGGCATTACTCGGTTACACTCGGGTTATTGTCGGGACTACCGGTATACACTCGAATGTAAGCCCTTCCATTTCGAATACGAATCATACTGAAACGAAATATGAATATAGATAAGTATGCTATCTTGCTTGTACTTGAGGGGGGGGGGGTGAAGTGGCATATGCAAAATATTGATTCGGTCTCTCTTGTAAAAAGAAAACTATTACATTTTGTTTGCCCGAACACAATCGGAGTCCAGGCGGAAATCACTTGCAAAACAGTTCGTAGACGCGAAATAGTCGGTGAAATAGTCGTGAAATACCCCTGAAATACTCTTAAATACCACGAAATACCCTGAAATAATCCGAAAAAGGCGAGAAATAATAGCCGAAATAGCAGAAGATATACCGAAACACAACACATACACGAAACAGCCCGTACCCGAACCGCCCGAACCCTTGTGATTTCCCCCGCGGTCAGAGGTATTGACCTCATCGCCCGGTATGGCGCGATGTTTAAACACATGTTAATTTTGAAGCTACACGTGCTATACCATTACGCCAACAAGGCATGCCAAACAGAACTATGCAGCGGAGTGTCCAGCGACCCATCCCATGAAATCCCCACCCAAAAACTTCACTTAGAAATCCAAAAAGTAGCGAAAAACTGAGGCCAGCCCAAAAAACATCCTCCGCCATCTTGGATTTTTTCAGCACATATTCCCTACAGCCTGAACGGTGCGTCGCACAACCCTCCAGATGGTAGCGCTGAGTTCGTAGGGTGCGTTTTTTTTTTTTTTTTTAGGGAGCGGAGGGTCTATTTAAGTGACAAAATCGTTACGACCTAGTAGACACCCCTCTCACCTGACAAGTATATTTGTGGGCAGCCGTGGACAGTGCAGACACCGCATCAAAGACAGAGAACGGAAATCGTCACGGATATCATTGACAACCAAGGGAAGACTATCACGGACAAACCACAGAAATCACCGTACTTAAAACAGATCATAGACAGGATCATGACATGCTAGCACAACGGTAAGCGGGTTGGGTGAGCATTCCAGTCTCTGTAACTTTTTAAATCTTCTAAATATGACTCATTACTGAGAGTGGGGAATTTTTGTCATGGCCGTCTCAAATATACTTGGTGTCGACATGACTGTTGTAAGTAGGGGAAAGTATTGCCCGATTTCCTCAGGCAAGTTGGTCCATGGAAGCGGGTGTTGGGCACTTTGAGAAAAA